AATTTGGTTAACCGTTTCTTTGTTTCGTCAAGCAAGTATACATATAAACAAATTTCATTTGCCTCTATTTAACATTTGAACAGCGGACATTTACGACAGAAACATAAGTGACTATGTTTAGGATCATTTACAATTTTATTTGACGACTTCTTTCAACATATTTTTTATGCTACTCCTCCCAAAAACGTTAACTGTTTTAGCGACGCAAATTAATTAGCAATTTAATTTGCAATTTAAATGAATTGTCAGAAAATAGATAGTTAAATAACAATATTTATATTCCAGGTCTAAATGGACCCGAGCCCCGTCATCCAAGTGTTAATTATTTCGTTATAGTTCTGTGTAGGATATCACTGTATTGGTTGCAATAAAGGTAACGTTAATTATCTAATTAAGATGGCTATGTTTCTGATATTTTCTCGTATAATTAAAAACAAAAGAGACGTGGAGATATTCGGATCTAAATGGTACTGTATATGATAATATACAGCAATAAATACTTAACCAGGACAAAGTAAATAAATATGTATTAAGGAAATGTAATTAAGGCTGCGCCTATTAATTTTGCAAGATCATGCTACGTTAATTAAAACTGAATTATACAATTCTTTCTCTTATAATTAATACGGCGTAATTATAAATATTTTCACCATAAATGTTATTTATGTAACAACTAAAAATACGCACAAACAACAATTTTTTGCTTTAAAGGTAAAAAGTAGTGATCTGTTACGAACCAATGAGCTCGTAACGCTTATCGATATTTTCTCGGTGCAGAGACTCATCCATTACAGCAATGCTCTCCATAGAAAAATGTTCTCATCGATGCTTCCGATTCGATTTCTGAAGGAGCGTGAATATTAGTCGTCGAAACCGTATCTTTACAACAACGTCTTTTTATTTTCGAAAACGTTGCATTTGTTGTACTCGAGTCTCGAAAATAATTCTAAATTTACTGTAACTGATGTGTTAGATTGTTCTACATATATCAAATCTTTAAAAATTCATCGATTCATAGCGATATAGTTAATAGCCATGCCAGTGAAAATAACAACAATGAAATCAATATGTTTGTTACTACAGAATAATTATTACAAAATAGTCGGAGATAAACGTATAGGAAATGTGCAAAAAGAAAATCGAGCTTTGGAACAGCATCATTTCTCAATTCGGCTGTTATCATGTTTCAACAACAACGTCTTTTTATTTTCGAAAACGTTGCATTTGTTGTACTCGAGTCTCGAAAATAATTCTAAATTTACTGTAACTGATGTGTTAGATTGTTCTACATATATCAAATCTTTAAAAATTCATCGATTCATAGCGATATAGTTAATAGCCATGCCAGTGAAAATAACAACAATGAAACCAATATGTTTGTTACTACAGAATAATTATTACAAAATAGTTGGAGATAAACGTATAGGAAATGTGCAAAAAGAAAATCGAGCTTTGGAACAGCATCATTTCTCAATTCGGCTGCTATCATGTTTCAACAACAACGTCTTTTTATTTTCGAAAACGTCGCATTTGTTGTACTCGAGTCTCGAAAATAATTCTAAATTTACTGTAACTGATGTGTTAGATTGTTCTACATATATCAAATCTTTAAAAATTCATCGATTCATAGCGATATAGTTAATAGCCATGCCAGTGAAAATAACAACAATGAAATCAATATGTTTGTTACTACAGAATAATTATTACAAAATAGTCGGAGATAAACGTATAGGAAATGTGCAAAAAGAAAATCGAGCTTTGGAACAGCATCATTTCTCAATTCAGCTGCTATCATGTTTCGAAACAGTTGGGTCATCGTCATCGACCAGCATTGACGGATTAAAAGGATTACCTCTCGTTGCATTCCCATCGAATGCGATGCGCATTGCATTATCTATAGAGCAAAAAAAAGAAAAACCAATTTTCCTGTTGATGCTAATGAATCCTGCACGCATGAACATAGTTACAGCATTTTCACAAAAGGTTCGTAAACAAAGTCGCGAGACTCGAGTGCGACGTGACGCAGTGCTCATTATGCACAGACCACGTTTATACTCATTCATACTTGATGCATTCAACCGTGTAAATGATCGAAGCATGCACTACACATAACCATAAAAAGGTTTCTTGGTCGCAGAAGTGAACAATTTTTCAAAAATATCGTAAAATTGAAACGCAGATGACAAAAGGTCGTTGAATAGGATGAAACCTATAGTTAATAAATAATATAAATAATATATAATAATAAATAAATAATAATAATAATATATAATAATATATAAATAATAATAATAATATATAATAATATAAATAATAATAATAATATATAATAATATAAATAATAATAATAATATATAATAATATAAATAATATATTGCTGACGAACTCTCCTTAAAAATGAGTCCACACATTCCCGTTTCTTAATAAAGGAAGTCACCTAACGCCGCATAGTATTCGATATCGGACAAAGCAATATTTTCGCGTTATCTCGTTTCACGTTACGTTACTCATTCTCACAATTTATTTCCAGATTAAAAACTATGGGAAGTATTCTATTTTATGCTTTATGTTATTAAAATAAAAACTATTTTATTTTACGTTTTAGATTATCAATATTTATCTTCATGCTTTAACTTTAGATTACTAAAATAAACTATTTCATATTACGTTTCACATTGTCAAAATAAAATATTTACTTCATGCTTTAGCTGTGGATTATCAAAATCAAATATTTTATTTCCTGAAATTTTATATCATATTCGATATACTATTTTATTTGAATTGTGAAGAATCTATTATATCAAATAGTATTTTGCAAATATTTTCTCTATGAATATTAGATGTCTGTTATTTATTGGCATTATTTTTATTTCAAACAAATACTGTATATATTATAAACAGAAGTAAATATATCTGTAAAATGCCAATACAAGAGTCTACAGTTTGCTTTAAAAAGAATCCAAAAGAGAGTCTAGAAAATGCATATCGAAACCGGAGTATCCCCTTGGGTGTCACTTTTGTTCCCTCAAAAGCGTAAGTCAAAGTTTGCCAAACTTAAACACCGAATTTATAATTGTATTCTTATACAGGAATTGCATCGCACCCTTTACGGTCACTAAAATTGCATCAATAGGATTATCACCAACGTTAATCAATAGTGCAACATTTTAAATCTTTTTCGCGATTTCAGTGCTTTCTGTCACAACTTAAGAACTTTAAGTAATTTAATTTTTAATCGATATTCTCGCCATTATATATTCTTGTTTGATGTGTACTTCATTTGCTGTTTGATTTGTTTATATATCATACAATATACAAATAATATAGATAAAATAAAGTCTTATTTATATTTATATTTATCATGTATTTATACCTATATTTATTATATATTCTTATTTATACTTATATTTATTATATATTCTTATTTATATTTATATTTATTATATATTTATACTCATATTTATTATATAGTTATATTTATATTTATTATATTTTTATATCTATATTTATTATACATTTATATTTATATCTATATTATTCGTATACTCTAAAATGTCGTGCTCGTTAAATAAACACATTTATACATTTATACTGCTAATGAAATCCAATCTAAGAAAAAGATCTAACAAACAGTCTAAACTTCGTAACTGGAACACTGCCAACAAAACATCTGCAAAACAGGAATCCTCGACGTTTCATAAAAATTGCGTAAACCCGGACTCATGGAGCCACGTACAGAGCTTATGATCACAAAAGCTTGAAATTCGATTTGCCTCCGCAAGCGTGTTCACTCGACGACGCAGTGGTTCGCCGCGGCGCGCCTGAACAAAGCGGGCCAAAAGGAGGCCAAAAACGTCATCGATCCCCACCTGCGAAAGAAAACCGAAAAGAGCAAAAGAAAGATCCGAATCCGGCGGATCGCGACACAATGGCACTCGTCAAACCGACGATAAGCGTCGTCGTTGTCGTCGAAGACGGCGGACCTTGCGTCACGGCGCGGCGGCGCACAGTAAGATGAAATGGCAAAGTGTCAAAATCAAAAAACTTTTGATAAAAATATGATAAAATGATGTCTTTTGTTTCACGTGAAAGCTAAAATGTTGTAGAATACGTGAAAAATAAAGAAAATGTAATATGAACATTTTTAAATCTTCGAAATTTATGTTAAACTTGAGGTACTCCAACAAAATTATAACTTATACCATACGATGTACAGGTCGATTGTTTTGTAACATGTTACACATAAATTCCTGTAGATTTTGACACGGTGATTTCAAATGCAGTCGCAAAATTTATCTACCACTTCAAGATTTCGTAACAAAAAATCGATGTAAGTGAAAGAACTAACGAAAACAAGATTTCTTCGTTGAAGCGATTCGATAATTTCCAAAATCCTGAAGCGGTAGATAAATTTTGCGACCGGATTTGAAATCAGCGTGTCGAAATCTACGGGAAACGATATATAACACGTCATCAAAAACAGGTCCAAAACTGCGAGGTAAAGGTACCTAACATGAAACCTCGCTCGATTGTGGCCCCTTCTAGAAACAATAGCACAATAAATAACACAGTAAAAAATAAATAGAGCGCATGAAAAACGATACAAAAATTCTGCCCATATTTTCGAACGCTGTTCCGTATAAGCTCCTTCGCGCAAATGCTGTCGTGTAACAATCAGCTGCGAAAAATTTGGTCATAAATCTCCAAGATTAAGAAATGTTCGCGCTGCGTACTCTCTATCTCTCCCTTGTCCCACAACCTTTTATCGTGAACGTAAAAAAGAAAAAAGAAGATAGCATCGCCTCGTCTCATTTCTATGAAAAGTTCTTTGATTTCGACAGAACTTTGTCATTTCACCCCACTATGCGGCGGGTGCCGCTGGAGGAGGACGGAGCGATTCGCATAGGAAAGCGCGCGCGATATAACACATCGATCTGCATCCGCGCAGCCGCAGTCCCGGCCGACCAGCTGGAGCAGATTTTCCCCCGTGCCACCCTGTATAGGCCGTGACCGGGATACGATACCAACAGGTGATGCTGGAGTAGAGAGACACTCCCTCGAGCGGCGTCGTTGATCGTCTCCCCCGAGTCCTGATCCTAACGGTGATTTAGTATAGTTTTCAGCGGGTCTCCCCGGCTGGCGAGCCGCCAGCATTCGTCCGAAGCGAAGCGGGCCCGAGACCGGGAGGATAAGATCTCGTTAGAGAGAGAGTCGGACACACAGGAGCGATGAACGAAGAGGATCGCCGGGACACGGTGAACCGTTAACGATCGGCGACGCGTCTTCGATCGCGCCGATGATTTAGTGAACTCGTTTCCGCGGTGTTTGTCGCTCTCGTTCCGCTCGGTTCCACGCGGCCCCGCTGCCCCCGGCGGCCTGTGACACCTAACGGACTCCCGATCCGAAGGATTAAGCCGGCCCACGACGACATCCGGCCCAGGTAGAACTCTCGGTGCGCCGTGATCTCGACGGAGCAGTTCCAATCCTGGAGTTGGGAAAATCGGTTTTCAACAGCCGAGAGTCGCCGCGACGAGACCCGTAGGATCTCTGCTCTTCCGCGACGCGAGACCGTCGGAAACGTGTGAGAGAAGGCAGACGACAGGTGGATCGTAAACTTCGCTCGACTCCGAGTTCGGACAAATAAATCTGCTCTCGGCTTGCGGATTATTTGGATGCCGGCTAGCGCGCTTTTTAGAACCGACGACGCTGAACAGAAGCGTGTTCCGAGTGGTAAACAAAAGAATAACGGGGAATCGCGGTCGCGATGAAAACAGTGGTGTTATCGTATCAAGCGTTTCCGCGGCGGCGGAATTCGTCGCTCGAATGAGCCGGAGGGTGCACGGGAATCGGTGAAATTCCGGCCGACCAAAGCAACAGGATGCTCGTGCTGCGTGTACGTTTGCTCGATGGAGAAGCCGATGGAAAGTGCGTCCCCGCGACAACGGATCCGCGTTCCTCGGGCTGTTATATGTTATGCGAAGCTATTCACCTAACCCCGTGAGTCAATGAAACGAAGCTTGGAAATCGCTGATAAAGCGGTCTTGTACCTCGAGGAGGAGTCCGCGTCGGGAGCGGAGCTATTGAAAACGAGCCGGTGCCGGAGGTTGTTGCGCGGTCTTCGCGGAACGAATAAAAGAGCGTTCGCACAATAAGTTCTCGAGACAGGAGAGTTCTCGTCGGAAGTGTTGCCGGAGAAAGAGACCGAGCCACGGATCGATGCAAATGAATCGAGTCGGAAAGTACGAAATGAGCGGGTTGCTGAATTAGAGCAACCGACGACCCGCGGCGAACAACGATCTTCGCAGAGTTGAGCCTGAGCGCGATGCAATTCCCGGCCAATTTCATCCGCGGTGAAACGTTCTACACGAGCACCGGCCGCGGTCGACCGCTCGATTAAGAGATTCTACGAGCTCGTAAAACATTGGCGGCTCGCGGTTTTCGATGGTGAACCGTTTCGATCGCGATGCGTGCGCGATAACGGGAGCACGATGAGTGGAGAAGATTTTATTGGACAGGTCGGGGATATCTTTCTGGAAAGGTCAAGTGGGAGTACGCTGGGGACACGTGTCGAGGCGACGCGGGTTATATTTCCGTGAGAGTAGCGGTATTGCCGACGATTTATGAGCGGCGAACGATCGCGCGTGCAAGGCCTCGTGCAGCTCGGCGGGCGAAAATAATTGGCCGCCCTTCGAAAGCTCGGCCGATCGCCCTAATTACACGGCCGCACGTTGCAGCAGGGGCGAATCAATATTTCCGAAATATTGCACGTGGAGGATGCGTGTCCGCCGGCGAGAGCAACGGAACGAAAGCAGCCCGGCATCAACGCGATACGCTGAGCGTCGCGACGCGACTACGGCTCCGGGGTTCAGCTGTCCAGGAGAACTAATTGGCGTCTGCTCGACGACGACACCGCGTGTTAATCCCGTAATTAGAGGGAAACCCGAAGTGGGACCGTTGAAACGACAAACGCGATTCAAGAGCCACGAGTCTGAGTGCGTTTCGCGCTCGTCTCCTCGACGACGGGGATCCCCGCGCGGAATGATTTGCGACGCGCCATGTGCTGCAAGAAAAATAAACCCGCACCGTCGCTCGACCCGCGCCAATTTCCAACCGAGCTCGGACAATTCCCTATGATTAACCGCTCCTAGGGTCTCCTAGCGGCCATTCGCTTCCGCGAACACGCGGAAATTGTCGGTGCTCGCCGAGTGCTTTACGACTGACTGTTTCGAACACTCGGAACCACGCTTCACCGGCAGACGGAAGAGTGGATGACGATGGTGTGATAATGAGTCTGTAGAGGCGGCAAGGTGAGTGATATTTTTTTTTTTCTCGTTTAGCGGAATTGTCTCGTTCGACAGCCGGGAAACGGCTGGTTCTCTGATCGTTCGACGGTTGTTTTTTAACGTACGGTGGTCCACGAAAGTGTTCGTGCAGCTTTTAAAACGCGATAAATTTTTCAAAACTGAAGCAAATGACTCGAGGGTGCGACTAAATGACTGCAAGGTGTACGAACACTTTTGTGGACAACCGTATTTGTAATGGCATTTCGTGTGGAATCAAAATTCTTCTTATCACACCCAATTAACACTAAACCTATCGAGTACAATAAGGAATTGATTTAGACCTTCCTCCATTTTTATTATAATTTTTGGATCGATAAATTCATTCAATCATTTCCTGCGAAGATGTCTTTATAATCTCGACAATCTCAAAGGAAAGACACGAAGACTATCATTTTGACCGGTACGGTAGGTTTAGGGTTAAACAAGTTTTCTGTTGAAATTAAGCATCGGGAGTAGTTACATGATGTAGTTGCACTCAGGGCTGGGTAAAAATAGATCTTTGAAATAGTAAATAGGCTTTTATCTTTATTTTATTTGAGATAGTAAATACTTTTATCTTCTCATATAATACAGAATTTGGCAAGTAAACTTTTTTCGAAGTAATAGTTATACATGGAATTAACATTTCAAATGTATTTAACTATGTAATATCCATACGTAATTATTATTTGAAAAAGGTGTATTTGTCTAGTTCTGTGTTGCACGAGAAGATAAAAATATTGCATTAATGTTTAGCTCCAGCTGTACATTCGTTCATTACATTTTGTGTAACACACGTTTAATGGTATTTCATCTAAAACTGATGTTCTCGTCACATTCAATAGAACAAATTTTCAGTTTAAATCAATCACCAGGTGCTGAGTAGCTACATGATTCAGTTGCATCAATATTTAGCTCCATTTGTACATCCATTCGTTAAAATTTGTGTGACACACATTTAATGGTATTTCATCCAAAACTGATGTTCTCGTCACATTCAATAGAACAAATTTTCAGTTTAAATCAATCACCAGGTGCTGAGTAGCTACATGATTCAGTTGCATCAATATTTAGCTCCATTTGTACATCCATTCGTTAAAATTTGTGTGACACACATTTAATGGTATTTCATCCAAAACTGATGTTCTCGTCACATTCAATAGAACAAATTTTCAGTTTAAATCAATCACCAGGTGCTGAGTAGCTACATGATTCAGTTGCATCAATATTTAGCTCCATTTGTACATCCATTCGTTAAAATTTGTGTGACACACATTTAATGGTATTTCATCCAAAACTGATGTTCTCGTCACATTCAATAGAACAAATTTTCAGTTTAAATCAATCACCAGGTGCTGAGTAGCTACGTGATTCAATTGCATCAATATTTAGCTCCATTTGTACATCCATCCATTAATTTTTGTGCAACACATATTTAATGGTATTTCATTTAAAATTGATGTACTCATCAGACTCAGTTGAACCATTTTTCAGTTGAAAGTATCCGAGTACTTGCATGATACAGCCCGAATAATGTTTAATTCAATTCGTACAGTTACTCGTTATTCTTTTTTTTATAACAAATTTTCAAGGGTACTTCACGCTAAGTTATACAATTTTCAATTAAAGTTAATCACCAGGAGCTGAATAGCTATTCGGTAGTCGATGCTTTTCATGTGTGCAACCGCGTTTCAATAATCGTATAACAGAGTGTTAATTATTCGAACGATTGTTGACGCCTTGGAATGCTGCGTTCATTGCGTATAAGTGACATAACTGTTTATCAAAGTTGAAAATCAATTTCTATTATTAGCTATTATGTCAAAGTTTCTTAGGATAAACAAGGTGCGAGAGGGTTGCGAGAGTATGCGATTGCTTTAATAATTCTTGGCTTTTAACTTCTTGAATATTTTTATAATTTAAAAGAAGAACTCAGTTTATATACTACGATGAATTTCAGTTAATGTATACGTGTGAAGCACAATAACGGCAAAACTATAATTTGCTCTTTTTGCACGATGGTATGAAGAGTGTACAGTGAGATTGGCGAGACTGTTCTTATACTTCTCTTGGATTTTGCTGCCCCAGATGCGACAGCTTTGCTTGTTAACGTAGTCATTAAGATGAGAAAGGGATTTCTGGGAGGAAATGATTTCTCTGTGAAAATCATCATCAGCTGCTCTGTTTTTAAGCATGCAATTAACGAACCTACAGCGCGCCCAATGTCGCTTGGCTTCGATTCCTATATTAATTGTGCTATTCGTAATGTATTGTAGTGAAAAATTCAGTACAAAAAATGTCTGTAGTTTCAGAAATATGTAACGTTGCAGAAGGTTAGCGAGTTCAACCAAAAGTAACAGTTCTAGTCACCTGAAGGACAATGAAATTTTGAGTATAAAAAGATGTCCATGTTCGAAACCTAATTAGACAACTCTTGTATCAAATGATTATTCTGTCGAAGATAATTATAAAAATTTCTATTCAAGATTTATATAAACGATCATTATAATATTTTCTATAAAACGCTTGAAATCTATTTCCTGGACATACTAAAATATATGCAATTCCTTAACGGAAATGCCAGTTTCCTCGAATTTCAATTATCCGAAGGGCCATTTATCGGATCACGGAATGAGTGACGTATCTATAGCGCCGTGAATCGTGTGCCTTGTAGCGCCGTTGACAATTTCAAACACGCATTCACCCGTTCTTGAAATACCTGGGACTACCGCCTGACTTCAATGCACGTCTTATATTTTGCGATTGCATGCATTTCATTCTTGTCGGGAGAATCGAAAGGAGGAAGCTCTGGAATTAAAGGAGAGGTTAAATATTAGTGCGAAGGTTCGTGGAAACGTGAAGCTGCATCTAATTTAGCGATAGGAAGTCTGCGGACGTAAAAGCTGTCGATGGTTAAACCCAGGACTTGAACGAAACTGCTCAAATTTTCGATTGGTTCTGACGTAATAGTTATTTTTCAACGCTTAATTTTTCTGTTACAAGAAGACAGTTATGCAGTGACTCCCGTTAATATTCGGACACTTTTCAAAACGTAATAATTTTTTTAGGTCTGGACTAAGCGACTTGAATTTTTTTAGATGATTGAGCGACCAGTCTACTAGACCGTAACTAGAATAATTTTTTAAAATTTTGCTGTGGTTTAGGATGACAAAGGAAAATAAAAAGCTCTCGTTTTTCAACTTTTTTATCTGAGCTTATAAGGAAAATTTTAAAAATATGTTTTGTGGATCTCAGTAAGTTTTATGCATGTTAAAAATTTCACCGAAATCGGTTGACCTTGGTATGAGCTGTAAACGATTTAAAATCGCAAAAATCGCAGTTTTGTCCCGATTTTTTACACTTTAGACCAATAAGTGTGAGAAATTTGCAGTTTTTACAGTATTATCACACTCGTAACTTAACTTTGCGTTAACCGATTTCGATAAAACTTTCAGTATGCATGTAATTTACCGAAATCTGCAAAACGCATTTTTTCAATTTTCATCATAGGCTCAGATAGAAAAGTTAAAAAACGAGAGTCTTTAATTTTGTTTTGTCATTCCAAGTAATAGCAAAATTGTAACAAAGTCCCTTAGTTTAGTTTAATTCTTAGTATATTGGTCCCTCTATCATCTAAAAAAAATTCAAATCGTTTATTCTAGTTTTAAAGAAGTTATTGCGTTTTAAAAAATGTCCGAATATTAATGGGAATCACTGTAGATTCACTGAAACTTTTATTCCACACATTTATGCATAAACAGAAAATTTTTACTTTTTCGAAAATGGGAAATAATTCTAATTCGACAGTAACAATTATCGTAGTTTGGAAAAGTTAGAGTCAATCAAATTTACCGTTTATAGTATTCAAAGTAATTGACTCTTACAAAGAGTCAATTCAAAAATGTAGACATACTAGAATATTAGATTGATCAGAGATTTAAAAACCTGTTTCTGCGTCAACTAGCGAATATAGCAACTTGAAAATATATAATATGTATATTTTTAATCTGTAATATATCATACTTAAAAGATACTTTGGAAGATATATTGCTTCTAAAACAAAATGCTATACACTAAACGTATATCCACATAATCT